TCAGAATCACCAAACGGTATTCGCTGAAGGTCATACAGGTTTACGCACCAACCTCGGCACATTCCGATGAGGAGGTAGAGGAAATGTATGAGGATATTTCCAAAGCCATGCATTCCTCCAAAACCCACTACACGGTGTTGATGGGAGACTTCAACGCAAAACTAGGCACAAAAGAAAACGGTGAGCTGAAGTTAGGGAAATTTGGAGTAGGGCAACGGAACCGAAGGGGCCAGCAGCTGGCCGACTTTATGGAGAAAGAGGGACTCTTTATGATGAACTCTTTCTTCCAGAAGCGGCCCCACAGGAAGTGGACCTGGTCGAGCCCCGACGGTTCGACAAAAAATGAGATTGACTTCATTATGACGACCAGACGCCAACTGTTCAGTGATGTCTCAGTGATCGCAAGGGTGAAAACTGGCAGCGATCACCGAATGGTTAGAGGCACACTGAACCTAAACATTAAGTTGGAGAGGTTTCGTCTAATGAAGTCAACACTCCGTCCCCCTCGTGCTCTAATTCAAAATCCCGAAAACTTTCAGCTCGAGTTACACAACCGCTTTCAGTGCCTACAAGATTGCAATGCAGTGGACGATGTGAATGACAAGCTCGTGGAAACTGTCCATGCGGTCGGAGCTAAACCGCAGAAGAACACAAAAACTCACCGATCACACTCTTAATCTCATGGCTGTTAGACGGGAGATGAGGCTGCAATCGTCAACAGATTCGACAACATACAGGCAACTGAACAGACAGATCTCCAAATGCATGCGGCGAGACTTACGCAACTTTAATACTGCTCGTATTAAAGAAGCGATCGAGCGGAACCAGGGCTCCAAAGTTTTTGCCTGAGATCTGTCTGCCCGTAAGAGCCAACTGTCAAGGCTGAAGACTGAGTGTGGCAGCATCGTTTCCGGGACACCTGAGATTTTGAGTGAGATTGAGAGGTTCTATGGGCAGCTGTACACATCATCGTTGGAGCCACACGCAAGTGTGAGTAACGATCCAAGAGCAAGTCTTATCCGACACTATTCCGATGATATCCCGGACGTCAGTCTAAGCGAGATTAGAATGGCTCTCCAGCACCTTAAAAACTGCAGGGCCCCAGGCGAGGATGGAATTACAGCGGAGCTTCTGAAAGCGGGTGGAACAACGGTACTTGAAGTCCTTCAGAAGCTCTTCAATTCCGTCCTCCATGGTGGCACTACTCCAGAGGCGTGGAGCAGAAGTGCGGTGGTTTTGTTCTTTAAGAAAGGCGACAACGCTCTCTTGAGGAACTACAGACCGATTTCCCTTCTGAGCCGCGTCTACGTGCTGTTTTCGAGAGTCATTACGAATCGTCTCGCACGCAGACTCGACGACTTCCAGCCTCCCGAACAAGCCGGTTTCCGAAAAGGCTTCAGTACCATAGACCACATACATACCCTGCGGCAGATTGTATAGAAGACTGAAGAGTACAATTTGCCACTTTGCCTGGCGTATGTGGACTATGAGAAAGCCTTTGATTCCGTCGAAATTTGGGCGGTGCTGCAGTCCCTTCAGCGGTGCCGAAGTGCTGAAGTGTTTGTACAGTAGGGCTACGATGGCTATCCGAGTACAGAACCAGAGCTCGAAACCTATCCAACTGCAGAGAGGTGTAAGACAGGGTGACGTTATATCCCCGAAACTCTTCACCGCTGCTTTGGAAGACGTTTTCAAGCTACTGGACTGGAAAGGATACGGTATTAACATCAATGTCGAGTACATCACTCACCTTCGATTTGCCGACGATATAGTCCTTATGGCAGAATCGCTGGAGGACTTAAGCACTATGCTCAATGACCTCAATAGTGCCTCCCAACGGATAGGTCTTAAGATGAACATGGACAAAACAAAGATCATGTTTAATGTCCATGTCACACTTATGCCGGCAGTTGTTGGGAGCACTATGCTCGAAGTTGTTGACGAGTACGTTTACCTGGGACAAATAGTCCGACTAGGTAAGTCCAACTTCGACCGAGAGGTCAATCGACGGATTCAACTCGGCTGGGCAGCGTTCGGGAAATTACGACACATCTTCTCGTCAGGTATACCTCAATCTCTGAAAACTAAAGTGTACAACCAGTGCGTGTTGCCAGTGATGACTTACGGATCTGAGACGTGGTCCTTCACTGCTGGCCGTATGAGGACGCTCAAGGTCGCTCAGCGAGCTATGGAGACGGCTATGCTCGGAGTTTCTCTGCGTGATGGACTCAGAAATGAGGATATCCGCAGTAAAACCAGAGTGACCGACATAGCCCAGCGGATTAGTAAGCTGAAGTGGCAATGGGCCGGCCATATAGCTCGAAGAACCGATAACCGATGGGGAAGAAAGGTTCTCGAGTGGCAGCCTCGTACCGGTAGGCGTAGTGTAGGGCGACCCCCCACTAGATGGAGTGACGACCTGGTAAGATATGCAGGAAGTCGATGGATGCAGGTGGCTCAGGACCGTGCTTTGTGGCATTACTTGGGGGAGGCCTATGTTCAGCAGTGGACATGTGAAGGGCTGTGATGATGATGATGATGATGACAAAGATTAAAATAAACATTCATGACGGTTACTTTACTCTTTTTGGTTCGATCGCCGACTGCAAAATTGTTCATATACCGACTTTAAGCTTCACTTAATCGAATTGACGTTGAACAATAGAGACTGTAAGTGATATTATGCATTCTTAATAAATGACCTAATGAAATTTAATAACTATATCTGTATAACTATATAATATGTTTTCGTTATTCCTTAGCTTAACGTGACATTCTGTGAACAAATCTCCCAAGAAGTCGTAAGCTTATCTACGACTAATGCCTGATTCCTAAAAACGAAAAAAGTAGCGTTCTCCGTAATGATCCTTTTTATTACATACTAGGTGCATGTGAAAATAGTTTTACTCGTTCATCATTCAATCATTGCAATTTAGGATATCTTAATGAAAAAAAAATTTAAACTGTTCAAAAAAAGTTACGCTGTTTTTGTTTAAAAAAAAATTAGTTTTCTTGTACTTTATTACAACAAAAGGGCTCGTGAAAGAAAACGAAGAGAAATTATTAAAAATAGAAGCCCGACATAAGCGGTCAGAGTATCTACAAGCTCACTCTTGGTTTCGTGTATCAGCCGGCGACAACATTTGTCCAAAAACACATGGTAGACCCATACTGCAGCTATATTATCGCTGTAGCATAAATAGGTCGGCTCGACCGGGGAAGGATCACGTTCTCACAAAAAACTAGCTTATAGTGGGCGTAGAGAACCGGAGACTCTTTTTACTGGAACGAGCCATTCCATCTTATTTATGAGGGGTGATAACGCACCTGAATTTTAATTCTTAATCGAGAATACACGTAGATGTCTATGCTCGCAGCATCCAGTTACCATCAGGTGACCTGTGTGCTCACTTGTACGCTTATTCTGTAAAAAAATTAGTATTCAGGTCGCAATGTGTCGTTATTTCTCCTTATATCCGTCCGTCACACTTATTTGTATAAAAAAAGCTTATCGCTTAAGCCTTAGATTGGGCACAAGTAGATGAGGACATGTGAGTGCCTCTATTTTACACACATGTATAAACTAGTACATTAGTACACACATGTATAACCATGTTGTGGTTGTGTAAGAATATCCACTGCGCCATATTGACCCGTGGGTAAGAGAAGACAGACGTCGTCACAAGCGACAGAGGGAAACTGAAGCAGGGGTTAAGATGCTGCTGTAGGAAGATAGCAGCATATTATAAGTCAAAATAGTAAAATACTGTGGAAGCCAACGCGCCTGCAAAGCGTGGCAACTATGGCAAAATCTCCCCTATGAAGTAATCTATAGAGGAGGCCTAAGTTAAGCAGTAAACTTTAGTAAGATGTCATGAATGGATGGGTTAAAAATCGATAGTTAATTGTTTATCCAAATACGGTAAAACTAAATTCGCCTCAATTTAGACTCAAATGCTGTAAACTGGCTCGTATGAAGAGATGTGTTTTCAAATTACAGGTTTTTGCTCCAGCCTAGATTACAGTTTTATAGGATGTGTCAGAAGTGATAAGAGACTGATTGTCAAAATTACTGATAAAATTTTAAGTTAAAGGTCCAGCCTATAAGTGTCCCACTGCTGGGCACAGGTCTCCTCTCATTTCTGAGAGGGTTTTAGGGCAAGGAAATGTCCGCCGCGCTGCCTCAACGCATGTTGGTGAACTTCACATCATGTTTTCAGATTTTTTTTCTTATTTCAAGACATGCAGATTTCCTCACGATATTTTCCTTCACAGCAGAGTACGTGATTAGTCAGCACTTAAATTTGGAATTGACAATTTCATTGGTGCTGATGGGTATCGAAACCGGGTTGCTCGCGTACTATGAATTTACAGCGACTGCTTAGCCCTTGAGCTACCGCGGCATTGATAAACTATGTAACTATATAGTTATGAAGTCCCGCTGTGAGTATTGTTCATCCTGGGATAGAGGTTTTTTTTCTGAAAGAATGACTTTGTAACCTATCTAATATATAAAAGTTAATGTTTCTTTGTTCGTATTTTATGCGCTGCTATACCGTTCATCAGATTGCGGTAAAACTTTGTCAACTTATTGCTTGTACTTGCGCGAAGAATATAAATATGTTACAATTAATTTACAGTATGTGGCGCGTAGCACAGACAAATTTATTTGAAAGTTTATATATATATATATATATATATATATATATATATATATATATATATATATATATGCAATAAATTTTTCTATTTCTTTCTTTCGTTGTTTTTCTTACATATTTGTGCTTTCGCACAAACTCAGTACGCACTGGACTGCGTCACGTGGTGGTCGTTTTCAGCCGGTAAGTATTTTTTTAGAGATACGTAATAACTGTTCGTAATTTTGACGAATGGTTAGCTTTCGTGTAACCTTTACTCCTACTGTGATGTTGAATTTTGATTTGCATTTTATCAGTTTTTTTGTTTTATTTTTGTTTTAGTTATTGTTTTAATCACGGAAAATGGCTCTAAGATCAATTCTTTCGGAGGAAGATATAGCTCGGGCCTTAGATAATGTAGATGAAGCCTTCTCAAATGACGGGTCAGATAGTGAGAGGGATGAAGACGAATTATTGATCGATGACGTAGAAAGTGATTACCATGACGCTGACACTGAAGAAGTTGAAGAACAAGAAAGAAGACCATTTTCAGAATCAGTAAGTGTGTCACAAACAAACCCTCCGGCTTCATCAGCTTCCAATTCTATTATTAGTTTGACTCAAACTACCATTCGAAGTAAAAAATCGTCATGTATGGACTACTTAAAAAGGACGTACATCTTCTCGAACTTCTGCGATGAATATCGTTCGCGTGGTTAGAGGACCAACCCGTTCTTTGAGATCCATAACAGACCCGCTGGTTTTGTTTAATTCTTTCATAACTAATGAAATCTCTGAGGAAATTTTAGAGTGGACCAATGCAGAAATAGCTATAAAAAGAGAAGGCTATTAGAATTTGACATCGACTCAAAAAGATTTATACAAAGAAGATTTCAACGCACTTCTTAGTGTCTTGTTGTAGGCAGCTGCGATGAAAGATAACCACCTAACAACCGAAGAATTGTTCAACCCGGCTTTTTGTGGGTTGCGATACATCTCGTGCATGAGCCGAGAAAGATTTGACTTCCTCATAAGATGCCTAAGATTTGATGATAAATTTATAAGACTACAAACTTTACAATCTGATCCTTTTACACTGATTCGAAGGATATGGGAATTATTAAAGGAACAGTGTCGCAGCAATTATGTTCCTGGAACCAATGTCACCATCGATGAACAACTGTTGGCATTTCGCGGTCGATGTAAGTTTAAAATGTACATGCCAAATAAACCTGCTAAGTATGGTTTAAAAATTGAAATGATGTGCGACAGTGGCACCAGGTATATGGTCGATGCCATGACTTACTTAGGAAGAGCGACAAACACTGGTGGTCTTCCCCTTGGAGAATATGTTGTCAAGGAACTAATACGAAGTATTCATGGCTCCAACCGAAATGTAACTACTGATAACTGGTTTACGTCTATTCCATTAGCTAAACAATTGCTACAACAACCTTTCAAATTGACGTTAGTGGGAACATTACGAGCCATCAAAAGAGAAATACCAGAAGAAATGAAAAATACCGCGGTAGAGTGGTTGGCGCATCTATTTTTTGTTACGATGGACCTCTAACGCTACTGTCGTTCAAACCAAAGCCAAGCAAAATGGTTTATTTGCTTTCATCTTGCGACGAAGAAGGAGCTGTGAACTCAACCACAAAACCCCCCAGCATAATCGAGTTCTACAATAACACAAAAGGGGGAGTAGATACATTTGACCAGATGTGTTCAATAATGTCTTGCAATCGGAAGACCAATCGGTGATCCATATGCATGTCCCATGGCATGTTGAATATATCGGGTATTAACTCTTACATCATTTATTGCCATAATGTCCTGGTAGCTGGTGGTAAGCCACTGTCACGACGAAGCTTCATGAAACAGTTGCATGAGCAACTTTTCGAACCATGGTTAAAGTGCCGTCTGCAAACCACAACTATGTATTCAAAGAATTAAGGACAAAATAAAAGATGTGTTGGGTTTGAACCAAGAGGACCAGAGTATTGAAGGAGCCCAAGGTTGTGAGCCATGTGGTTCTGGAAGTTCAGCAGTATCTGAAAGACCTTCAAACAATTAAAGAAAGAGTTGCCGTTTGTGTTCTTACAAAAAAAAGACGAATTACAAAGAACCAATGCGATACTTGCAACATTCCTATTTACGGCGAGCATTCGGTTGATTTTTGTCCTAATTGTGCCAAAAATGTGAGTGTTACTAAGTATTTTAGTGATTTAATTCTTTATTTTTTATAATTTTGAGAAAAAAAACTTTTTTTATAATTAAAAATTCTTTGTTAGTCATTTAAGGTGAAAGTGCCTTATTGATCTCAATAAATACGTGCCATGTAAAACTTATAATTGTAGACTAAAAAAATAAAAATATATTGATTTTCATTATATCAGAAAACATATCTAGTTTAGTAAAAAAATAGGCTTTTAAAAATGATCGTCAAAAATACGAATGGTTAGCTTATCAGGGTAGTCCAGGAACGTTAGCTTTATAGGGTTAAACTAAGTTTATATAAAAGGGTTATTATAATATTAAGGAATTTATGGATGATAATAACCCCTGGTAAGGGTGGTCGCTACCAAGCAATTTCTAATTTGTCTTGTGTTGTTAATTGTAACAAGCATGATGTAAGCTCTTTTTTTTTTAATAGTCCCGCTGGGTTTCTTGCTGGTCCTTCCCAGGACAGAGTTTTTTTTGCGAACCAGTGGTTAATGAAAAAAGTGACTTTCATTAAATAATATTAATACCCTATGTTGAATGAAAAAAGTTTCTGTTTCTGTAAATATATATATTTATAACAATATGTCCAATTATATCAACGGGTCGAGTAAGTCTATTTTATGTCCTGCGTAGTTAAGAACCTCAGAACCTATTCAAAAGTACCTCTAAGACACTTATCCATCAATTTGGCACCCATTATGATGTATAAGTTTCCGGTAAACATTGAACAGCACATCTGTCAGTTAATTGGCCTATCGATGGCATGTGTTCAGGCGATTTCTATACATGTGAGAAAGTGACCAACTCATCTGTATTCAAAATAAGCCTATTAAAATTCAATAATAAGTTTTAATTCGGATTTGAATTTCACTTTGAATCAAGGTCTTAATTGCAATTAAAAGAGGCTAATACATACGTTTACTATATTGTGACTGATTAAAATTAAAGGTGATTGTAATCACCGTAATGTCAGATACTTGTTCGTAGTAGGTACGCTACTGCGCGAGTCTGCCTGATCGAGTTCTATGCTAACTGGCAGAGTTGTTAGTTTTAATTTAAAATTAAAATCATCACAAACGCAGTTCAAAAAGGAACTAGTACATTATATTTCACGTCTTGTCTTTCTTTCTTTTTTTATTGTATTATTCTGAAAAATAAGAAATACAACATCGGTTTTCTTTTATTAAATAAACAAAATGTCACGTTCATCAAAATATATAATAGCAATTGTGTTGTTTTTTTAAAACTGTTAATTTAGTATTACTATCATAAAATGTAGCCTTTGGCGGTCACAAGTTGAATATTTATATTAAAGAACCTTGCCCTTTATCCATTAAGTTCTTTACGTTGTAAAGTAAATGTGTAAAGTAAGAATTGTAAATCACAAGGAATAACATAAAAATATACTTAGATATACTCGAAAAATTAGACTCTTCAAGTATAATCGAATTAAATATTACATTTTTTTCAGTTCGATGGGCTTTCGAAAGTTTCATTACCAAATCTAAATCGAGGAAAAATCAACACTACATAAGACGACGTAGTTTTCTACAACATACCAACCAATGAAACGAAACTACAATTAATTAACTTTTGGTAATAAATAAAAGCTTACATCAAAAAAAATTAAAAATATTAATTTCACATTATAAATTAACACGGTACGTTAATTAAAAAAATTAAAGCCCCGAATACAAAATGTGAAATTATTCTATGTTGGTTAGTTCTTTGATGTCGGCTTGTACTTATTAAAACACTAGCTATTTGCCCCAGTTTCGCACGGGCGATTTCAGGATCTCGATAACCACGGCACTTACCGGGTCGAATTCTGAATCTAAACTATTCACGAATCAACTTAATTACACACACAAAATTTCATCAAAGTCTATCCAACCGTTTATGTGGAGTTCAGTCACACACACGGACAAAAAAATTAATATACCTATAAAGATAATTTTATGAAGTTACAATAGGAATTAATAGTAGTTTGAAAAACATATATTGGCAACTGTAATAAAAAAACCAGCGATTATAACTCGCGTATGCGTATAAAATACATATACCCATTTATAAATGCAGGCATGATTGTTGATATCATTTGTTTAAACTTTATTCATATCGGAGCAAATATAATTAACCTAGATACTCTCCATTCATAACATCCAAAGTTTAAGCAAAGTCATTGACATCGAGCAAGTTCTCGGCCTAGATCCGCGAGATGAAGGTCACTATGCAATGTCAAGTTTAATCTCTTGACATTTTAATTGCTAGTGATGAAACGTTTGACGTTTCGATGAAAGCGCTACGGTTATTTTAGATATCAGATTGACAACTTAAGCTTTTATTAAAATTGAAGCTCATTTTTTTATTAACAATTGGTGCTATTGGCTAACTGTATCTTCGTATGTAGATATTTACATATGTTTTAATATTCGCAATAATTTCTGGTGTTAGTTTTTTATAACAGATTGGAAAATAAAATTATCCGAATCGAAATATTAAAATTATGTAAATATTGAATTTCTGTTTTCCTATTAATTGGTAGGTTGATCATTGATGAATCATATTAGTGTTAATATATCTTCTTAGGCACAATTTTTCAATCGTCAAATAAAAGTTATCCATCAAATAAATCTATCCAAACTTCAGACATCAGAAAAACACCCAATAACTATGCTTTTCTAAAATTGGTTCGTAATCTCTAATTTAAAGACAATACGACAGATTTAAAATCAGCTTAGAAACTTCCATCTTGTAACCGATGCTGACATTTATTGCAGGATATCTTACATGTATTTCAATATTTACCACAGAGCTGGCTACAGAGATTCCTACAGCATCAATACAATAAAAGTATCAGAAGATACAGTTCGCGATGGCATGTTTATATGCTGTTCTCGACGACAGTGTTCGCTTTAACTGTATCAGTTGAAGATACGGAATAAACTCGGCTGAATAATGAGCTCGACAGCTATTCCAACTTGAAGATTCATAACTGTACTTATTTCGTAGGTCTTAAATATTGCTGTTTTATTTGTGCGTAAACTAAGTTAACTAATAAATTTCAAAGAGATATTATATTTTAAGTGATATAGTAATAATTTTCCTCCACTGTTTACTCTACTCTATTTTAAACTAGTTATCCTCCGCGACTTCGCCTGCGTGTAACTTATTACAATTGGATTTCGTGCGTTTTATTTGTATAAGTTTAAGTTTAAGTTACTCCTTATAACATCAGCTATCCGATAGTAAAATTCCCGTCAAAATTGGTCCAGCCATTTCCGGGATTAGCCGAAACAAACAGACGGACAGACAAAAATTTAAATGCGTTTTTGTTATAAGTTAAGTATATATTTTCATATACATTTAGTAAAAGAAGTTATTTTGAAATATCAAACGGACACTTCAATTTTATTTATTATAAATGTTCTGCGGTGATTGTTTTAGTTCTTTGGGGAAATGTTAGTGCATATCTATGCGTCAATAATACGTCA